TACAGCTATAACTATTTCATTGTTTGATCTTAATTATGCAGTATGTCAAAATTTAGAGATTTATTTTATTTATCTTGATTATTTTAGGGTTCTTTCTATTTATTTTTAATAACATCAACACGATTCCGACGACAAGTTAAATGTGTTTTTATAAATAAATGTTGGCGAGTATATTGTAGACAAGGAATACGTCAAAATCAAGTTGCAACATTGGTACAATGTACCACTAGTGAATTTGATTTACAACAAATTCAATAATATACAATAGATCATTATGCGATTATTATTAATGCAATACTATTCAATATATATAGAACATGAAATATTTCAATGACTTGTATTGGATGTTTTTTATTACGAAAAAAAAAACACATTTTTATGTTTCTCTGTACCCAGATCAATGATTTAGGCGGCAGAAGAGTGTGAGTATAACACCCACACTCTTGAAACTTTAGGAGGGGCATAAAAAAATTTTGCCCAAGGCAATGTGTGTTTAAAATAGCAAATGATTGCTAAGTGTTTGCTCTTGTAATTTCCTGTGTGTAGAATACAATTCGACTAATATTTTATCTAAAATAATAAATCAGAATATTCCAAATGCATACAAAGAAATTATCAAAAGAACACGATATCTAGCAAATAATTTTCTAAGTGTATTAGACGTTTTCATAGACATTTTAAATAAAAATGACAACTATGTAAAATTCCATTTCGATATATTTGTATGTATTGTTATGGTATCTAAATGAAATAATTTGCAGTTGATCATTTAGAGTTTTAAGAGCAGCTCATGATAGAGGTTTGAAGTCTTCTATATTTCATGAATGGTGTGATAATATTATTGATGAACTAGAAAAAAGAATAGTAACACTGAAGTTTATTTAGATTTTCATTTATCCGAAACTATATTTTAATTTTTGATTTAATAGAAAGATTTCAAGTAAGCGAAGCAGAATACTTTTGTTTTTTTGTCAAGTTTTACTTGATATTGAATAATATGAAGGATTCGAGAAAGGTCAAAGTGATATATTATTGAAATTGACTTTGAAAGTGTTCAACATATCTTATTGAATAGTAAAAATCCATTTCTGAATTTGTAGAAAAGTATACAAACAAAATTTTCAACAAAAAAGCATCAGCTGTTCACATGTTGAACCTCTAGCATCAAATATGATATCTAAAGTGGATGTTGATATAAGTCAAAAAATGTTTTGAGAACACAACTATTTCAATATTAATAAAAGGATTGTTAGAAATAAAATTCCTAGGCAATCAAATTAAAGAAGCTGATCGATTTAAATTTGATATTCATCTCGATAGTTTGTTAGATAGAAATTGAACTTCTGAACAATGAAATCATGTTTTTAGCATTTTTAAAAAGTCGAATAATTAAGACAAAATACAATATTTTATGTATGTTCTCGAAATCTTATCATACTATAAAATTCTTCTAAAACAAGAAAAAATCAAGAAAAAATATTAATAGCTCTAAAGAATCCAGTCGAATATTAGGCAAAGAGAACTCAATAAAATTGCAGTTGAAACTAATTTTTTCGATAAAGGTCAAGTAAAAACTCTAGGAGAATTAATAAAAGAATTAGAAAATAAAATTCTCATAATCAAAACTTTGTTTCTTAGACACTGAATTTCATCTTACAGATACTCAAATATTAAGCTATTTTATTGGCCTAAATGCAAATGATAATCAGGGACGATTACTACAAGTACGAACTGATGAAGGTAAGTCGATCTTTGTGTGATCTTCAATATAGTCATAACATTATAAAGCAGTTTATTTATTAGGATCAAAAACTTGTTACACAAAACAGATAGTTTATAGTGAAGCAGCATAGTTTCAATTTGATACTCTCAGAAGCGAATATGCTCATCTTGATAGTTTAGCGAGTAGAAAATACGAAGTTGCTATGGTAGATGAAGTAGATAGAATACTTATTGACGATAGTTCGAAAATCGGCAATGTCTGATATGGATTAATTACAGATAATATATCATTGATTATGGAATCAACTTATTTTCCTATAAGAGAAAATGGTTGAGTTAGATAACAAAATATGTTTATTAGATGGAAAAATTAAGTTTGATTAAAAAATGCATCATTCAAGAATATGCGCAAATGAATAGGGAGAAATTGCTATGATTCCAGATTTAAAAAATTATACAGCATCTACTTCGGATATAATGATGATAGGATTATCTATTCCAGAGAATGATGAACGTGATATATTTATTAAAAAAACGTTTACAAAACTATATTAGAATATTATTAGGTTGGCAACAAAGTTTTTGCGTTTTTTTCAAAAATTTAATTTTTATTTTTTAACTTCAACAGTACAACTAGCTTTCAGTTATATATGCACCACTACTATCTATGACTTGTCGCCAACGCTCTGGCAGAGATAGGATCCCGCGTTCGTAGAAGTTCTGGGACTTTTGACCAAAGAAGTTGGCGATATCTATTTTCACGTCGTTCTCGTCGTCGAACTTTTTCTCGCGCAAATGATGAGAAAGAGAACGAAACAAATGGTAGTCTGTTGGAGCCAAGTCAGGAGAATAAGGTGGATGAAGAATGGTAATCCATCCGAGCTTCAATAATTTTTCGCAGGTCGACTTTGCAACATGGGGTCTTGCGTTATCATGCAAATAGTAAATTCGATCCTGCTTTCCCTTGAGTTTTTCGGCAACCCGGTCCAATTATTGATAGTAGAGATCAGCAGTGGTGGTGCAATCATTTGGAAGAACTTTCCAGTGAATAATTCCATTGACACCCTACCAAATGCTCAGCATCATCTTCTTGGGGTGTGGATCAGTCTTAGGTGTTGCTACGCCTGTTTGACCAGGGCTTAGCCACTGGCGTCTGTGCGTGTAGTTAATATACAACACCCACTTCTCATCAGCGGTGATAAGATTGCGGAGCCATTGATAGTTGTGGTGAGATATCATTAAATCCATGCAAGCATCAACCCTGTATTGAAGTTGATGTGGTGATAACTCGTGGGGTATCCAAACTCCATATCTCCATGTTTTGCCTAATTCGTTCAGATGTTTTTCCACCGCAGTATGAAAGCACCCAATCTGCTCTGCTAAACACCGTGAAGTCAATCGAGGATCTTGTTCGATAAGCTGCTTTAAGAGATCCACATCCACTTCCTGATTAGAAATAGTTCGGATAAGATTAATCTTTCTAACTGATATGGTCAAATTTGTTTTATGATGTCTGAACAATATCAAACTCGTATTGATGAAATTTTGCATTGAGAAACGTTTGGGTATATGGGTGTGACTGTGTATGGACCATCGCTATACCAAGAACCACACCCTAGGGATACACCAATTCCAACCAATTTCAATTCTAATTCTTGGCTTGGAATTAAAGGAATTGGCAGGAATTAGAATTGGAATTGGCTGGTATTGGGATTGGTGCATCTCTAATGATATTATCAAGGATTAGCTATAATCAGTCTGAAATTGCGTGGAATTGGCTAGAATTCGGTTGAGTTACCTAAAATGCTTATGGAATCCTAGGAATTGGTCTTAAACTGGCTCGAATTGGACCAAATCGTCTACAATTCCTACTCAATTCCTACAATTTCAATTCCAATATCAACCAATTCTAAGAATTGGAATTGATTGGAATTGGAATTGGTGCATTCCTTCCACACTCACATCTCCCCACAGTCAAAGCCACACCCCCACATACCGACACCCACACTCACACCGCCAACATCCACACCCTCCGACTGTCATATCAAAATCATGCTTAGTGGTATCGGGTCACATTGCAATAGTATAACCTTCAGTTATTTCACCGGCATCTGGTGCTATGACATGAAATCCAATGGTACGATCCTAAATTATTCAATAATCAATGATTGTCATTGATATTTAACGATTAACAACAAAGCGTGCTCTTCTCAACAATTTATTTCATATAAGATGTAGTTTATAATCGGATCCCGATGTTGACAAATTGCCTATTTTAATGGGACAAATTCATTATGGAAGATCTGAACAAGTCGAGATGATCTTCAAGAAGAAGAGAGATCAAGAGTGAATGAGTTTACTTCGACATTATCTTTGACAAATTTGGCCAAAGTATCTTCTTCTGTATTGCCAATAGCTTCATATTCCATTGGTGTAAATACTGTTGTCGGAACATTGTAATAATCCATCTAAATTCAAATGAGAATAACAAATGAGAATTGAAATCATCAAGAAATTGACCTTAATCGAACTATCTGAAAGCAATCGTTTGGCTAACAATTGTCCAGCTCGAATAGCAACCGATCTCAATTCGAAAGGTTCTCCTCTGGGCATAGTTTCTTCATCAATACAATCACCGACAGCATATAACTAGGGTATATCGATCGATCTTTCTTCTTTCGTTCGAATCTTCAAAGTATCTCGTTTATCCACTTGAATCCCAATATTTTCCAATCCCAAATCACTTGTACATGCTTCACGTCCGATAGCAAAGAGAACTGTATTAAAATTCCACGTAATTTACCCAACTTGCGTTCTTCCACACATTCGATACGTATTGAAATGGATTGATGATGAAATTGAATTTCAATTGTTGACATATATTAAGCGATTCGTGTTGCCATTTGTTGATCAAAGCCACGTAAAAGAACTGATTGAACAAGAATATGAACTTCACAACTGATTCCATGCAAGAAATCAGCACATTCTTTCATTTATCAATATTGACTTTGCGCTTGTGTTGATTTTGTATGTGATTCATATTGACATAATCTTTCGTGAAGTTTCTCTTGTTCTATTCATTTAATCTCAATTGTCAACAGTCATCCTTTCAGTATTACAGCATCATCAAATTCATATCTACAGATTAGTAATGAATTGTTTGTGATATAGATAGAGGCAGAAAAAAAGAATGAATAATCATGAATCAAATATAGTTAGAAGTATATAAATACAACATGAAAGGTAGATTTTATATATCTTTATCATTAAAGTCTGCGATGAAGCTCTTTCTTCTTGTTGTACTTTTTTTCATCATTACTGTCAATGGTAATCCATTGAATCGCGAGTAAGTGAATGTTTATTGTTGAACATAGACGAAATTTAAAACGAAATGTTTGACATAGATGCAAATGCAAAGCTGTTTCAAATACAATCCATTTTCCATTTCATTCATGGGATATATCATCATGTAAACTTTGTTCATGCAAAGATGCCGCTATGGTTAAATGTGAAGAAGCATGTAAAGCTATGGTACAATCTTATGCACTTACTGGTTGTGGAAAAGTTATTAAAGGTAGCAAAGTGAAATATTCATGGGACGCAAGTTCATGTTCAGATGGTGTTAGCAAAGTAGAATATACCTGTGCTTAAATATGCACAAAATACTTTAATTGCTTTTTCTTGACATTAATAAATCAGCTTATAAGAAAAATAAATTTGAAATTATTATAAGTGGTCATACGTAGGATTTAGATGATGACTGTAGGTCATGAAAAGATTTATCTAGTTGCCAAAGATTCTTTGTGAATAATATTTATTTAAATATTTTGACCTTGTTTTCTCATTGGCTTTATTATGTTCGTTATCGTTGTTTATCGTACGATCTTTTGACGCAGATTATTAACAAAAGATTACTTGAATACAAAACTTATCAATTACTTATATACTACTTATGATAAATCATTCGATATAACCTACAATGCATAAGCAATAAGAGAAATGTCCATATCTACTATGAAGTGAGATTTCATGCGATCGATCTTGAGGGTATGGGCGGGGGTGGGGATGGTGATGTGGATGTGAGTGTGAGTGTGGGTGTGGGTATAGATGTGAGTGTGGGTGTGGGTGTGGGTGTGGGTATGGATGTGAGTGTGAGTGTGAGTGTGCGTGTGGTTGATGATCATTCTTCACGAACACACATCTACACCTACACACCCAAATGTAATCGACTCTTTAAAGAATAAAAAAGATACAACAATGTGAAGAACACGTGTTGCACACTTTGTCTTACTGCCTTATGAATCTTGCAGATACGTCTATGACTAAAGAAAAATAAAGTCAGACTAATGTGAGTCATATTGTTCTATAAAGTTGTGTTGAATAACAATAAAACGTTAGGTCATTCCGTTTCACATAAGATTTTTTTGGAGTTCTGTTGGAATCAAAAATGAATTTAATTTATAATCAATAGTTATTAAATGCGTGTGCCAATAGGCATATTATCTTATATGATATCTTTATTTTCTCAGTATTTTCTTGTACAATCAATAATACAGTATTCATAATCGTGTTACTCTTACATTTATTTAAGATTGATTGAACCTTGTTCTCTTTCTATCGTAATGCGCTTCTCATTCTATATCACCATTCACTCGTATATTATATGTATTGTTATTTTATTGTTCTTCTATATCTGTTCTCTCCTTGACCTCATCTTCTTTCTTTTCATCATTACTTGTTCTACTCATGTATATAAACGTGTGGTATATATGCAAACGAGGTGATTGTATGATATGAAGAAATAGAATAAAGTGTAATGCCACCAACACTAACATAGCTTCTACTATCAATCGTCACATAACGATTAAATGAGATGAAGGGATAAAAATAAAAGTGTATCATCATCTCTCACCACACTAATGTCTCTTCTTCTATCCTCATTTTTTCGTTACCATGCGCAGTGTTGATAATATACAAAAAAGGATTTAATGAACTGGCCCGTCTCTTTCACTAATGCTTGCATATATGAACGAGCAAATAATTAAGGTATCAACAACTATAAGAAAATCGAATTAGCGTCGAATATTTTTCAATTGCTCAGCCTTTTTGTGCACTTTAAAATGTTCTTTTGTTAAAAGATGAAAAAAGATCATCCCAATAGTTTCAAAGGAAGTTTTCTTTGAGAGAAATTCTTCATAAAGTATAAAGTTCATCAAAGCTTTTTCCAACTTCATTAGAATGTGTTCCATATAATTGAAATTGAGAAGGATTTTGAAGGATTGATTCTCGTGCAATTCCTATCGCTTGTTGATAATGGAAGTATGCAATCCAGTAATGATAGAAGCTCTCACACATTGGACCAATATTGTCGTATATTGTTCCCAAATGTGATTTTCTCATATATTGTGGATTCAAACATTTTTCAAATCGATTCGATAGTTTCACCTGAATGTGTGTTCTCCATCTACCTACGATCAATTCCTATGAATTCAACTGGACGTGGGCGTGGACGTGGGTATAGTTGGTGATCGTTCTTCACTGACCCATACTCACACCCTTAAATGACACAGAAAAAGCGTTAAATAATATTGAAAAGATATTGCTTTGAAAATAGCTGAATAATTAAAAAGAAAAGAAAATAATCGATCCATCTTAATTATATGTTTTTAAATATCGATAGTTATACTAATAAAAAGTATCACACCTATTCTTCAATAACACAAAAGATTCGTTTGATTCATATTTAATAAAAATGAATTAATAAATCTTTATGAATCTATAGTTATCCGTTGAGATATTGGGTTGATTTGAAATGAACGATTTAAAAAGATTTTCTTGTTGTCAATATTTAATTAAATATTAGAATTAAATGAAAAAATATACAAATATAAATGTTAATCATATATTTCCATCAAGATAAGAAAAAAGATTTAAATTTAAAATAACATTTGTTACAATCTTTGAAATAAAGATGAAAATTATTTCATAGATTGATTTCTTATGAGAAGGCTTTGAGTTATTCGATATGTACGATACATTTTAAACCTACGATGAATCTTTTCATTTAAAAAGGATTTTCTATTGTTTATTACCTAGATATCAATTGACGAATGACATTAAAAAATAGTAGATGTTATAAACTATTTTTTAATGGAAATATTTTCATCAATATTTGACAAAAATCGAACAGTAAAAGTATCTACCAGATACAGAGATACTTTCTTCCTATAATAAAAATTAATTTTATACTATTATTGTTTTGTTAACTAAAATATGAAAGGAATCTTTTTAATGTAACATATTTAATATTCATACATACAAATCAGATAATTGATCACATTTATCAAGTTGTTTTATTAAAATTTTTCTATAATGCTTCATTGAAGAAGACACTAATCATCTAAATATTATTTTTATATAAACTAATCCAAGTAGATATCATCTACCTTAAGAAATGAAAATGGAAATGATTTTTGTCTCATGATATATTTGTGTTAAGCGGTTTCTATATCGTTTAAAAATGAAGATAGGTAGATGTTTCTTCACAAATCAAAGCTTTTTCGACATACATCTATTGGACAACATTGAAAAAATCTGGATCAACGTTGAGCATATCGATGTCGTGTTCAAATCATATCATTTATATATACCAAATGACAAATATGCTAGCAATACTGTAAATTTCATTACACTTCATTAAAAAGAATAGTTTAATCACTTTAATTAAAGGAATAATAACATTAGATTGAATAACTTGTAATTTGTTGTATAAATGACGTCAATGAATCATTTCGTGTATGTTTTAAATATTTTGTTGCTATGCGTGGCCATATCGTGGTTGTTGTTCGCTATAATGATGTTTTCTGATTCATTGATTTATTCACTAATAAGGTTTTTACCGTCGTCCTGTTTTGTTTTGATAACTATTCATCAATAGCATTCATTTTGTCAAAAAAATGCCAATCGCATCAACTACAACTAGTACATTTGATAAAAATGATAATAATCAATTATATAAAAAACAAAAATAATGTGAAAAACAATGTGATTGGGATCAAAAATCATCAATGGAAGCTTATTATTGAAAATTTTTTCCCTAAAATTGCAATCTATCTATTATACTTTTTAGACGCCTTTAAGATTAGAAAAAAAAACAAAATTCTGGATAGTAGTTATCAAATAACACTTTTTAATTATAAATTACGCAGATATTAAAACAGAATCTATTATAGAGGATGATGCTTTATTAAATTTTGGCAATATCGGAAATAAAACTATGTTTGAACTTGATAACACACAACAAAGACAGTTATTAAACAAATTAAATATATTGGATATGTGCTCATATGTTTTTATTGACAAAAAGAATGATTTGTAATTTTGTTCTAGACGGTAATTTTTTTTTCTGTGATTCAATTGATGGTTGATTTGAAGAAAAAGATGAAGTGAGCTTGTTTTTTCGCCCAAAATTTAACAAAAGAAATCATTCGTTTTTTCCCTCTAATTATGTCATCCGTCAATAAACAGATCATTGAAAAAAGTCCTTTTCTATTTTGTTTTCTCTGTTCCTTTATATATTATTGACCAATATAAAAGTTAATAGGAAATCGTAAAGCTTTATTTGCTTAGATAATTTTAAATATGGAGACAATGATTGAACAAATGTTACAAAAGGTATTTCCTTTGGATAATTATTCAGAAGAAGTGAAAGACATAGTGATTGATCATATCTTAGATTTCACTGAAATGATCACAAGATTTTTTAAATGATTTTGATAAACTTAATAAAGAAAAAAATAATTGATTTGTCAAAATTTATCGCTAAATTTTCAACGACAAATAAATTATTATCTGTTCTTCAAAAACAACTAGTAAATGATGATTCAATTTCAAAAAAAAATTATGAATAAAATATTAAATTATATTTGTAGGAAATCGTATCTTCATGTATCATATCAAAAAATATTGTTTATATAGATGAATCCGTTCAAAAGGCTGGTCGTCAATATTTTGATATAAATTTCATGTTTACTCATGTAATGAAAACCGGAGAAAAAACTAGCGGTTTACTGCGTTTGTATCAGATCAATTACCGATTTCTTTACAGCAATTAACCGCAGTTTTTTCCGGTTAACCGTGGTAAGCTACGATCTATCGCTAAAAGTGAAGCGGTATTTGTGACACGGATGATTATGCAACATTTTGCAAAAAACATGATATCTTATTCGTGTTATTGTAAATAATGAATTGAATTGGATTGGATTGGACTGTAAACATAGATATTTTTGTTAACTTCTTGTGAAAATGATTTGTTATTTGTCAAAAGCAAAGAGATAGTAATGAAACATTTGTTCATGATTAATAAATCGAAAGTGTAGACATAACAGAATATCTTAATACTTTAATAGACTTGTTTATTTTTACATAGAATATTGTATGATACATTGCACAAAGTAAAGGAAAGGGAAAATGATGTTTTGTTCTTTTGCAATAGACTGTAAGGCAAAAACACAAAAACCATTCATTTTGCTCACAAATTTCATCTATTTGTTGCATTTTCTTTGAATATTTATAGACTATACAATCAATTAAATAATTATTGATCTGCAGAACAGCCAACATATGTATATTTTATTTTGGAACCTAAGAAT